GAATGAACAAGCAGATAGAAGACCTTTCTCTTTGTCACTCCCTCTCTCTGTCTATAGCTCTGCCTCTCAAATAACTAAATAAAATATTTTTAAAAAGCTAGATTCAAAGGTAGATATTTCAGCTACTCTAGAGAATTTGCAGTGTTAACCCAGCATCTTGATATTTCAGGGGAAAATAATGGTATTATTTAAAAAGATACCCCATGAGATGGAATCCAGATTTTTTAACTTAAACATCATAAATTGTGCCCAGATATGAAAACTTCAAATAGCTTGAAAGAATTTTTTTAAATGTTAAAAGCTACCAGCTTGAGCTGACACCAGTATTTCTGAATCTTTCTAAATAAAAACTAAAATATTTTTAAAAGAGAAAGAACTCCAAAGTCAAAATTTACAAGACAGGACACCAGAATTTAGTTCAGTAGAAAATAAGGTAAACTCTCAAGTAATTAACATGAAATCCTAAAGCCCATCCAACTGGAAATTCTGTTTAATTGGGGAAGGGCCAGTGATTCTCCAGTAACCCAAGAGACAAGAGTCATATTTTTCTTCTGCAAAGTTTTTACTGGCAAGATTAACTCCATGAAGGGCCCAGTTTAGGTAGTTAACTCTTTGAAATTCCCAGCTTGGAAATAAAACTAATAATATCATCAACTTATTAAAGACATGCATTACTGCTTCCAGGGATTATTATTAGTTAAGTATTACTTAATGAAGGAACCTGATGATATGCAATGATGATCGTATTTTAAAGGGATTTTTTCCAAAACCTTGCTTCCTTTATTTGAGCTCCAGAAGGACCATGATCTATTTGAAGTTGTGTGACTCATTGTGTTGTCAGTGAACAACTTACATCTTCCTGTTATGTCAAGTAAGTTCTTTTAATCCTTTCTTCAAAATGTACTCTGTATTCAGTCATCCAATTCCATTCTCATCAGTTTGCTTCTGTACCACTATAAGAAGCTGCTTCTGTTCTTTCATCTCTCCACATTCCAGATTGTTCTACCAAATTGTTACAATTTCCATCATATTACTGTACCTTTGCTCAAGGACTATTGATACTGTATTGCTTCTGACCCAATTCGCACTCTTTTGCTGAACTTTAAATACTAGCTTGGTACTCTAGTCTACTGCTACCTAAACAAGTATTCCACATTAAGTCTCCAGCACAATGCCTAGCTCAAAGCAGGACTCAGTAAATTGCAAGTTACTACCCCACAGTTCAGACCTCTGCTCCAGTTGACTAGAGTTTTAGTATTATCTGAACACATCATATTCTTTCCGGGTCTCACGTTTTGCTCATACTTTCTGTATAGAAGGATAAAGCAGAAAACTGGCTAGAGGGTATGCAACCCTTTTTTTTTTTTGTATCCAGAAATGACATCTTTGCTGCATTGGTCTTCCATTCCCTGTTTACCTTCAAGCCCAATTTGACAATCATCTGTTACAAAAAAAACTGTTGCCAACTGCTCTGGGAAACAGATTTTTCTCCAAATCTTGCCTCATAAATCCCATGGAAGGTACCATATTGTAGCCCTCTTTAGGACATGTACCACCTATGCCAGAATGTTAGAAATAGAGAAACCAAATAAAGGTAGCTCATGGATTGGGTAAAGATCAGGCACCCACATTTCTCTAACTGGATAACTAGTTCTTAAAAAACAGCAGGTCACTTGGACTATAAACCTATTTTGACACCAGGTAGGAGAATGCCCAGTAGTTTATACTTGCCTTAATACTTGATGTTAATTACCATAATTACAGGAACACACTGAGTGCTTGATTTATATTCAAGAATTTTGCTAAATGCTTTCATTTCATTCCTGCAATAAACCTGTGAGTTAACACTATACACATCTTAGGGAAAACTGAATTTCAAGATTGAATGACTTACCCATGATCATATGTACCATTCATGATGGAGATGGTTCTAGAAACCATGCCACTCTGATTTCAAAGCTTTATGACCTTAACTGCTACACTAAATCATCTCAGAAATATATACCAAAAAACAATCATAAAGCAACTGGAGACAATAAGCACTAGATTAGGCTCATAAGAAATGAATATGTCAGGGCTGGCACTGTGGCACAGCAGGTTAATGCCCTGGACTGAAGCACCGGCATCACATAAGGGTGTTGGGTTCAAGACCCGACTGCTCCACTTCCGATCCAGCTCTCTGCTATGGCCTGAGAAAGCAGTAGAACACGGCCTAAATCCTTGGGCCCCTGCACCCACATGGGAGACCCAGAAGAAACTCCTGGCTCCTGGCTTCGGATCGGCGCAGTTCTGGCCATTGCGGCCAATTGGGGAGTGAACTGTCGGAGGGAAGACCTCTCTCTTTCTGGCCCTCCTCTGTATAACTCTCTCCTTCAAATAAACAAATAGATTTAACAAAAAAAAAAAAAGAAATGAATATGTCAACATTTCCTTTTTCTCATGGACTCTGCTTAATTACCAACAATAAGGAATTACTCCCCAAAAATCCACCTTATTTTCCTCACTTAGCTTACAATGAAAATCTAGGGTGTTTTCCACCTAAATGTGCGGTCTACAGACCACTTGCAGTGGCATTCAAAAGGTATGCACAGCTTGCACAGTGGCAAATGTTGCTCTGTGTGACACTCCACACACTCATTATTCAAGAATTCAGAGGAGGTGTCCCCAGACACACTGTGAAGCATCTTTCTGTAAACTCACAACCTCGAGTGCATGCAAAAATATAAAGTCCTAGGCCCTGGCTATTCCAGGGAATCTAGCATTTGTGATGTCCATAGGGGAGAAGATCTTCTCGTTCCTCTTAAAGTAGTACTGGACCTCCTGAATCACGGTACATGAGATTGGGGTGCTTACTTAGGTTTGCGATGGGTTCTTTCCTATAATTATCTTAATCAGGCAAGATTGAAAAACACCGATTCACAGTTCCTGCCTCACATACCCTAGTAAGGCACCCTTTGTAGAAATATGGAATCACATTAATTATAAGATCAAAATATTTAATGCTGGCAGATTTTTTTCCATTTTCATAAGCATTTTTTGTGGGACTAGAGAATAGGAATTACTTAAAATAAATTATAACCCTTCTGAAGGGTTATAATAAACTCCAAAATGTGTATTCTTGAGACATTTGCAAGAGAGAAAATAGAGACTAGAACAAATTAGTGTAAATTGGTTAACAAAACATGCATGGAGAAAGAGAATTCAAAGGGTGGTGGCAAATTAAAAACAAGTTATACATCTTGTACCTCAAGGAAGAGTCTATTCCTGCAGCCCAAAGATTGAGATGTACCTCTCCAGAACTCTTTTTCTGTACAAAATTAAATTCTGTTAAATTATGGACTAGGGAACAGCACATCTATTTGGTTCAAAATTATGATATACTAAGGTTGCATGGGATAAACAAGCTTTATACACAAGGGTTTCGTTGTAAAGTTGTTGATTGTAACAAAAGTGGTTCTGTTCATGGGGGACATGAACAAAAGAACAGAAATAATACATTATTTTTCCCTCTGGATTTGGAGGCTGCATGAGTTTGTCTTGAAAGCTGGCCACTCCAGTAATAACTGCTATTTGAAGTTTTGCGCTTATGAAATACATAAAAATAGGAGGGGCTTTTCTGTCTCCTTTTAGAGAAGCAGCAGGGGATAATGGCAACCCAGTTCTAGGAATCTGAGCTTAGACCACAACTCCATTCGGTGCTAGTGGTGTGGTTTCTAGACCTCAATCCCTGTCCCTGTAAATAAGGAATATTAATGCCTCTGCTACTTTGTTGTCTTAAGGATCAGAAATAATACAGTTGAATGCCAAATACGAAAGAGAATGCAATTAACATCAGCTGTCATTTCTATGGTGGGGTGGATAAATTTGCCCATTGAGAAGATTTCTCCCCATCGCTGTCTTTTAGAGGGATCTCTCTCTAGGGAGGGACACAGTACAACAGCAGATCATATGAAGAGCATTAGACAAAGAGATCATGAAGAATCAACGTTGCACCTCTTCCTACTCAGAAATACATACCTTCCTCCCCCCCTCCCAGGGGTAGATGTATCACCTACATAATCACCTGATAAACCATTCCAAGCCTACATTGACTGTATCACATCAGACTTCACAGAGCCTTTGCTGTCCCTTTTTAGTCATTCTTTAAAAAGCATCACTCCTACGTGGGCATTGAGAGAAGAAAGAGCCAGTGTATCAGTCCTCCAAAGACCCAAGATTTAAATGGTAATGTTGTTTGAGTGTGTGGTTTTAATAGAGGACACTAAAATAAGAACAATGGTGATGCCAGTGGATAAGAGCCAAGTCTTCCTTCTCTCAGCGCTGTGACCTCCCACCACGTGAGGTCCCTTGTTCAAAGGTGGTGCAATTCAATATGTGTGTTAAGAGGTCACTGAGGAGAACCATGACGAAGGGCTCTAAGAATGGCAGCTTCACCTCAGACCTTACTATTTCAAGAAGCTCCGCCTCACCTGTCCCATTCATCACTCTTAATGAAATTCGTTCATTTAGCCGGAAGTGAGGAAACACTAGTGAGAAACCAGCATTTTGAACTTCAGCTTGGGCAAATATTGCTAGAACTGGGGCAGTGATATTTTTATATTATCTATCCAATTATCTATCTATATTATCAGTTGTATATCTATCCAACTGTCAGTTTTTGATAAATGTTTCTTCGCGTGGTTTTAACAATGACACATATTAATCTGGTTAAATCATTATAGCTCTATCGGCTTTGTTCTAAAAGAAAGTTTAAATGGTGAAAGAAAAAAAAGAAAAAATGAGCTAAAACAACCAAAGGATTCAAAGTTGGGGTCGGGGAGGACTATCACCAGAGGCATTTCTGGAAGCTGCACTCCAACAATGCATGATGAAATATCACATTCTATCGTCAGATCATTCAAACCTGCAATTTTACATTTTCCATGGAGGGTGTACAATAGCAAAGTGGGTGAAAAGGTGGGACAAGAGTGAGGCAGCACTTTCTCCCAAGCAGGTTGTACCTGAGGCGTCATTGAGGCTAAAGGCGATGCGAACTGGCTTATCCGCAGGTACCCTGGCTGTGCTGATCATGTGGGCACCTGAGCCTTCGCCTTCCCCTGGGTCTTCCAGCTGTGAGGACAAGAGAGAACCAAGGTCACTTTACCCAACATTTTGCCTCTGAATACTCAGAGACCCTTAGAAATTACAGAAGAAGAGTAGGAAGCATTGTCTTCTTATTTCAGACATTCCTAGTTCTGCACTGCTTTCTCCTACATCAAAAGTATTCACATGTCCCATTTAAATTTTTCTGACTCATGAAAAATTACTTTAGAAATGTATATCAAGAATGAATGAAATGTGGCAAAAGTCTCCACCTGCCTCACTTTTCCAGTATCTCTTCCTGCTGACCAGTTCAATTCTGGCCCTTCAAGGTCATATAAAGTATTTTATATTTAATTTAGGAAGATAAAAAAAAGATATTGATCTGGGAGTGGAAAAGGATAAGTATAATTTCAAGAATACCAAAGAATATTTTAAAAATCACACAGTTATATATTATGAATATTATGCACTTTTAAGTTATCTGATTAACTTTAACTCTATCAGACATATCTAACCAAGAGTGTACGTTTTAATAAAGCATAATACAAGCAAAAAATAAAACTTAAAAAAAACATTCAATTGATGTTCGACACCATATAGTAAATTATCATTTAATTGGTACACTAAAATGGAGAAAAAGAAAAATACACAACAGATAAGATGGGCAAAAATACGTGAATACTTCTGAGTTCTAATAGAATTTAACACAAACACATTTTAACCAAAATATTCGATAACCTGATGCCCACAGGGAGTAGGAAAAGATATTGTTATAAATACATGATATTTTTGTTATTTAAATACATAAATTTAACTTTTCTATTTTTAGTCCTGCTTCCCCTAAACTGCCCACTCTCCTTCTCATGTAGTCAGTAAACCAAAAAGCCTGAATATTTTAGGGAAATGTCTCTTAAAATGGCAAAATATAAATAACCTCATCAACCATCCTTAGGGGGATTCTGGGAACTACATTAACAGAACATTTTCTCACAGCAGGGTTTCTGATTCTTTCCCATAACTTTTTGCTACCTAAAAATAAGTGTCCAGAACACTGAATTTTGTTTTCACAATTATTTATAGAGCCAAAGTCAATGCATATATATATATATATATGTATATTTAGACATTCACACATTTGGAATCATCTTACCCAATATACGGAAAGAGAGCAGGCTTTGGAAAAAAAAAAAAAAAAACAAAAACAAAAGAGTAAATGTGCATCACCCAAGCACATTTGACCCATTCATTTAATATAACAAATAGGAACGAACTACAAAACACTCCACTATCCACATCAGGGAATTCCAAGATAGAAAGGAAAAGTAGCATGAAGCATTTCATTTAAGAAAAGAGGAAGAGTATAAAATTGCTGTTACTTGACTCAGGACTTGTTTAATCCTAACTCCACCACACTTCTGTGTAGTCTCATCTACTCAGAATCAAGTGTTTTGTTAGACACCTGGTCCTGGAAAATAGCACAGATTGTCTCAAATTGAACAAAGCAAACAATTAAAAATCCCTCAAGGTTGCAGCTAAAAGGGTAAGTCTTACCGTTATGCATTGTACAATCAATCACCAAATCACTTGATCATAACATCTAAGGATGGAAATCTGTACTCTATATTGGGCTAAATTTCCCAGCACTTTCTTGCAGCAAGAAATGAAGCACAGGGATGCAAATTTGTCTCCAGGACTTTGTAGAGAGAGCTCTCATAGTATTTCCAGCTACAGGAAATGGAACCGATAAACGCAGCGAATTACAGCCCCTCCCCTCCACGAATCTGAGAACATCTGTCTGCCTGGAGAGGATGGTGGGGAGGTTGGGTGGATTTTGAGTTCCACACAGCAACAGCCACCAACTCTCCTAAACCAACTTGCCTTTTCATCACACCACCTGGAGAGACGGGCCGCTGATTCCTTCTCTCGCCTGTAGCTGTAATAGAGCTTTGGTTAGGTGGCTGGTCCTCTGAGCATTTAGTTCATTTTTCGCACCTGTTGTCTTACCTCACTTAGTTGAGTGTCTGCACTTGTGTAATCCAGGGCCAGCCACTGCCTTGGCCAGTCGTTGCTTTTGTGGAGTAAAGTCTCAGTGAGAGACCAGGCTGCACCTGCTGCATAGCAGCCGCTGACAATCTGAGGAGCAGGGACAGCTGTCAGGGCAGCACGCTGCTACCTGCTCTGCCCTCAACCCCAGCGTCCCAGGGACCTCCCTGATCTACTCCCTCCACTACCCCTCTCTCCTTTCCTTGTCTCTTCAACAGCCAGGATGTTGTCATGTTTCTAGAAAAAGCAAGCGCAAAAGAGAACCCTCCTCCTGTCAGAGGCATTGATAAACAGCAAGTTGTGGAGAGTCCAAATGTTTTAATTCACTAGTCCTGGCAAACCTAAAATACAAACAGACTTGCTTCACAAGACAGGAATGTCTTCAGCATGACCCAATCAGTGTCTGTGTCTATTCCAGCAAACTGGCAAAGATAGCATGACTCCAGTCAGCAAAAATGTCCTCCACTCCAATCAGTGCAGCCAAACCCAGCCAACTTGGACAAGCCACAGGCGACTCTCAGATGATAGCAGTGATGATCCCGCTTAAGAACGTGAGGTTTGAGGTTGAGCCCGTGTGTGGTTGATGACTTGATCCATTGTATAAATGCAACAAATGCAGAAAGAGTCAATGTGAATAAGAATGGCGGGATATGGCTTTTCAAATGTTTTAACAACTCTAAACTTGGATTATTAGTCCTTAAAAAACAGCTAGAACATGATACTGAGATTAAATAATTAAAAGTAAACAAGTGTTAAGACACAGATCAGAAGAAAATCTTTGCAAAACACATATCAAAAGAAGGACTGATATCCAAAAAATACCCAGAACACCTAAAACTCAACAATAGGGAAACAACACAATCAAAAAATGGGCTAAGGATGGGCACAGACACTTCACCAAAAAAGATAAACAAATGTGAGTAAACATATGAAAATAAGATAAATATCATACGTCAATAAGAAATTACATGCTAAAACAACCATGAGATATCACTATACACCTGCTAGAATGACTAAAATTCAAAACATTGACAACAACAAATGGTGGCGTGTGGACAGCAGGAACTTTCATTCATTGCTAGTGGAAATGCAAAATGACACAGCCACTGTAAAAGAAAGTTTGGCAGGGGCTGGTGGTGTTCTACAGCAGTTAAGCCTCTGCTGGGAACACCAGCATCCCATATCATTGCACTGGTTCAAGTCTTGGCTTCTCTGCTTCTGATCCAGCTTCCTGCTAATATTCCCAGGAAGGCCACAGAAGATGGCCCAAGTGTTCAGGCCCCTGCCATCTGTGTGGAACCGAATGAAGTTCTTGGCTCCTGGCACAGGCATTTGAAGAATGAACCAAAGAATGGTTTGGCAGTTTCTTTGAAAACTAAACATATTCTTAGAGTAGAATAAGCTTATGGGTATAAAACAGATCTTTTTAAAAATAAGAGAATAGGAGAGGGAGGAAGAGGAAAAAGGGTGGGAGCATGGGTGGGAGGGAAGGTAGAGTGGGAAGTGTCACTGTGTTCCTAAATCTGTATACATGAAATACATGAAATTTGTATACCTTAGATAAAATTTTAAAAAACTAAACATATTTTTTTTTAATTTATTTGACAGGTAGAGTTATAGACAGTGAGAGAGAGACAGACAGAGAGAAAGGTCTTCTTTCCGTTGGTTCACTCCCCTAATGGCCGCCGCAGCCGGCGCTGCACCAATCCGAAGCCAGGAGCCAGGTGCTTCTTCCTGGTCTCCCATGCAGGAGCAGGGGCCCAAGCACTTGGGCCATCCTCCACTGCCCTCCCGGGCCACAGCAGAGAGCTGGACTGGAAGAGGAGCAACCGGGACTAGAACCCAGCGCCCATATGGGATGCCAGTGCCACAGGCAGAGGATTAACCAAGTGAGCCACGGCACTGGCCCACTAAACATATTCTTACCACATGATCCAGTAACCATGCCCCTTGGCATTTTCTAAAGTGAGTTGAAAACATATACAAAAATTTGCACACAGATGTTTATAACAGCTTTAGTCATAATTTCCAAGTCATGGAAATAGCCAAAATGACCTTCAACATGGGAATGGAGATATATATATATACACAAGCTGGTGCATCTACACAATGGAATATTACTCAGGTATAAAAAAAGTGAGCTATCAAACAACAAAAAGACACAGAAGGGGCTTAAGTGACATGAGTTAATCTGCAAGGGCTGCATACTCTATGATTCCAACTTTGTGACATTCTGGAAAAGTCAAAACTAACAAGACAGTAAAAGGATCAGTGGTTGCCAGGGGTTCAAAGAGAGAGAAGGGATAAATGAATAGGTGGAGGGGAGAGTTACAGGGTGATGAAACTGTGCTGTATGATACTGTAATGGTGAATATGCATCATTACACATCCACCTAAACGCACAGAATGTACAACACAAAAAGTAAGCACTCATATAAACTATGGGTTTTAGTTAATATTTCAATATTGCCTTATCTGTTGTAATAAATTAACCACATTGATGCAAGATATTATTATTAGGGGGAATTAAAGGGATGGGAGGAGAGAGGAAATATATGGAAACTTGGTACTTTTCACTTTTTTTTTGTAAACCTCAAAATTAAACAATTAAGTAAAAGTAGTCAGCAGATGTCCATGATCAAATGACTGAAAAGCTAATTTGTTTTTATAGATGCATGAATAAAATGCATAGATTCAGATCATTAGAACATTCACATATAAACCTATTCTTTCCAGGAATTATAATTACCATTGGGATGTTATTTTGTAGTTAATAATATCACCTTACATAATGCATTATAATTTATCAAATGAATTTTTTATCCATTATCTCATTTTCATCTTTCTGATGATCCCATAAAATAGTCATAATCAGTATCCTCATCCCCATTTGAGAGATGAGCAAACAGAAGCTGAGGCAGTTTAAGTAACGAGGTCAAGGAAACATGATGTAATAAATAAATAAACATTTTTAAAAAGATACATGATCATTGCAGAATTAATGATCCAGGTTTTTTTTCATCTTTTTTTAAGATTTATTTATTTGTTTGAATGGCAGAATTATAGAGGGAGAGGGAAAGACAGAGAGAGAGCTCTTCCACCCTCTAGTTCACTCCTCAAATGGCTGCAACAGCCAGGGCTGGGCCAGGCTGAAGCCAGGAGTTTCTTCCAGGTTTCCCACATGAGTAGCAGGAGCCCAAGCACTTGGGCCATGTTCTGATGCTTTCCTGAGCACATTAGAAGGGAGCTGGATCAGAAGTAGAACAGCCATGACTTTAACAGTGCCCATTTGGTATGCTGGCATCTCAGGTAGCAGCATATCCTGCTATGCCACAATGCCAGTTCTAGGATCCAGGTTTTCTAATTTGCATTTCATGATATTTGCACTACACTAGGATATACTCTATATTAAATATTTAATTGATTTCTTTTTTTAGTTAAGAATAAGCCTGACTCTGAGTTTTTGGTTGGAGAAGACAAAGGTGCAGCTGTCTTCAGTATCCTAGCATCTAGGTTCATCTAACACCAATCATCTTTTCCAGGACAATTAAGTTCAACCCTGAGGAAATCAAAGTTGTACACCTTACATGTTCCAAGGGGGTGAGTGGATTTCACATCTGCTCTGACTCCCAAATTGGCCTCTTTGGTCTGCCTTCAGAAAAGTTGAAGATGACATTCCAGTGAAACCAACAATGCAGAACAGAAAGGCCCAGAATGAGCTGGACCCTTCCTCTTCTGCACTGACCATCAGAGCTCCTGAGGAACTATTGAGACAGGAAGAGAAAGTTACCTCTGAAATACATGAAATGTCACCTTCTGTGCTATTATCAACAGCATCTGCAGAGGTAGCCAATCTTTATCCAGAAAACTTCCCAGAATTACCCATGTGATCCTGGGGACTTCACAGTGCACAGACTGTAATCTTGATGACTACATCCCCATGACATCTAAGAGGGCACTAAGAGAGATACAGAGGATGCTACAAAGGAAAGATTCCATTGACGCATAATTAGACAACAATGAGAATGCAGCAAAGAAGAACACATATAAGTAGTTTAAATATGCTCTGAGTTTAATAATACAAATTTCAAGATTTTCACAATAATAATTAATATTTACTAGTTTCCTTAGGAGCAAGGATGTATTGCTTGGCTCTTTATCCAAACATTTTCAAGAAAGCAACAAATCCAAAACCCAAGTAAAATATCTCCCCATGACTGAAACCCAAAATAACTACAGAGTTTTTTAAGAATTCAACAGAATTACACTAATTCAATCCAGAAAAAATATGCAGACTAATAGTATGTTTATAAGTCTTGTTTTATTCTTTTTGGCAATCAGTGTTTTTACTATCATATAGAAAATTTAATGGGATTCAAGGAACTATTCACCTAATGAGCTTGCTCCTGAATTATGACATATACTCACGGTATAGACTATTGTCACAATTACATGATACCAATTTTGTTTTCTTTCTTTTTTGCTCTTTATTTTTTAGAAAGCTTTTATTTAATAAATATAAGTTTCATAGGTACAGCTGTTGCATTATAGCAGTTCTTCCCCCTATACCTGCCCTCCCATACCCTCTCCCACCTCCTACTCTCTCTCCCATCCCATTCTTCATTAAGATTCATTTTTAATTATCTTTATATACAGAAGACCAACTCCATACTAAGTAAAGATTTCAATAGTTTGCACCCACACAGACACATAAACTATAAAGTACTGTTTGAAGACAAGTTATCATTAATTCTCATAGTGCAACTCATTAAGCACAGAGGTTCCACATGGGAAGAAAGTTGTTGATTTAACAACTTACACTCTTATTTCTGACATCAGTGATCACCCAAGGCTCTTGTCATGAGCTGCCAAGGCTATGGAAGCCTTTTGAGTCCACAAACCCCATCAGCATGATACCAATTTTCAATGCAATTCAATAACTATTTTTGAAGACTTGATATGTTCCAGGCTAGTGTTTCCCAAATTTACCTGATTATTAGGTTTGTGTCTCTCTAAAATAGCCCTTCCCAGATTCTAAGACAGTGACTCAACAGGTCTGGAGCAACTACTGTGTTCTGTAAATTGTCGCTCCCCCTCTTCGTGGAGGAACGACACTAAACCCTGCGCTGTTCTTTCGTCTGCTCGGCCCTCCCCGGGTTTGCTGCTGGTTCTTCCCAGGTTGGCTACTATCCCTTCCACCTCCGTGGAAGGGCAGTTCCCCCTGGCCACATTCCCCACTTCCGCAGGGGAGCGGCACACCGCCGGCCGGCTCTCTCGGGGGCTGCACAGGTGTTCCCCTTAGATGTTCCTGGTGCATGCCGTCTCTCTCCTCCTTTATAGTCCTCCTCTGCCAATCCCAACTCGGCTGCCCACACGCCGAGTACGCTGCTCTCCTCCAATCAGGAGCAGGTCCTACAGTTTATTGGCTGAACTGGAGGCAGCTGTGTAGAAGCTGTTTTCTTCTCTCCCAGCGCCATATTGTGGGAGAGCAGATGCATAGAATAAGTCTTAATTCCAGTAACTTAGTCTAGTCCGAGTTGCTCCCCACAGATCCCCCTTTCTTTTTATTTTTTGGCGTTGATACGCGCCTGTCTTCGGTGTCCCGTGGCACACACTCTGCTCTGCTTGCTAGAGCTGCCACAGGTTC